TTGACTTCTGAGAATGATGAGAATCCGCTAGTTTAATCAATAATGTGAGGATGACTTTCCCCTTTACCCAGACAGTCTCAGTTTATTTCTGTTGTTTCAGCATAATTACTATCAGTGTCCTCTTCTATGGTAAATTATATGGTCACCCCCAAGGAGGAAAGTCTAATGAATTTCAGAGTCAGATGGTGGGGGCTAAGGATTGTACTCCAGGAAATGTAGACATGAACCAATGGGGTGTGATTTCAGGACCCACCATCCAGATAAAGTTCTCTCTCCCATCTAGTCACTGCCCTTTCCTTCTCCCAATGTGATTATGCACCAGCTCCACCAATCATGCTGATGCTGCTAAAACGACTGATGCTGTCTTCCTCTCACTGTGAATGTGCCTCCAGTTCTGGTCTCCCCTCTCTGCCTCGCGCTTCTCTGAGAATCAAACTGTATCTCATGGATTGGCAGCCCAGCATTCCGTCAGGGTTTTTGAGACTTTGAGACTTCACAAAGATGTTAAAAATAATCCTCTTCCGCCGAAACCGGTTTGGTTCAGTGGATAGAGCTTCGGCCTGCAGAATCGAACAAGGGTCCCAGGTTCAATTCCGGTCAAGGGCATGTACCTTGGTTGCGGGCACATCCCCAGTAGGGGGTGTGCAAGAGGCAGCTGATCGATGATTATCTCTGATGTTTCTAACTCTCTATCTCTCTCCCTTCCTCTCTGTACAAAATCAATAAAAAAAAAATATATTAAAAAATTATAAAAAATAAATAAATAAAATAAAGTTTGGGAATGGACAAAAGGATTGCCAAATTTTTATTTTGCCAGGTAAAGACGTCCATCTTCTATATCAATACTGTCTATTAGAAATATAATGCAAGCTATAGGTACAATTTAAAAATTTTCCAGGAAGCCATATTTAAAAAGGCAAAAAAAGAAGAAAACAAGTGAAATTCATTTTAACATATTTTATTCAACCCAATATGTCCAAATAGTAGTATCTCAACATATAATGAACAGAAAAAAAATATTAATGTGATATTTACATTTTATGCTGCCTTTGAAAAGTGGTGAGAATTTTGTACAACACATTTCAATGTGCATTAGCCATATTTAAGTGCTCAAGAACCACATGTCTAATTCTATACTATCATTGGATAAAGAGCACCATAGTACATACACACACACACACACACACACACACACACACACACAGTTCCACGTGATCATAACCTCCGAATTTTTAAAGACATTTAGATGAATCATGAATCAAAAACTACTTATCTTGTTCTGATTGTTCTGGTTCTTTATTATGAATGTCCTTAAGGACCATGCCAGTTTGCAGACTGATGTCTGGAGCTAGACAGTTGGGGTGGGTGAATGGTACCTGAGCGGCTCCTTCCTCCCTTCGTTGAACAGATATTCAGAGTCTGTGTTGTGCCAAACTCTGCTGAGTACTGGGGACACAATGGTGACAGTGGAAATCAGGTGGGTCCTCGGATTTCATGGAACTTTAGCTCTGCCATGGCATACCAAGTGGGGCTGTGTCTGCAGAGAATTTAAAACAATAAAAAAAACTGATGGGGAGTCCATCTGTGTTTTTTTGTTGTTGTTAAACCTCACCCAAGGACATTTTTTTCCACTGACTTTTACAGAAAGTGGGAGAGTTGGGTGGGTTAGGGGAGGGAGAATGGAGGAGAGGGTGGAGAGAGAGAGAGAGAGAGAGAGAGAGAGAGAGAAAGAGAGAGAGATCTATGTGTCTCTGATACATCAATTGGCTGCCTCCAACACTTGCCCTGGTGGGGGTGGGGGTTGAACCTGCAACTCAAGTAGGTGCCCTTGACTGGGAATCTTCAGTGCACTGGCCTATGCTCCAACCAGCCAGGGCCAATCTGCATTTTATTATCACCAAGTGCCCATAATTCTACACCATGTCAGTGACAAAATTAAATCAGAATATTTAAATTACTTATACACTACCAAACATTATATTCTTCAAGGAAGTTAATTCAGAGCACTCCTTAACTCAGTCAGCTCCTATCACATGCCAAATCAGACAAAACTATGCATATTGGTTTTGAGACTAAGTCTAGAACAATCTGGAATTGTTATACCTCTTTTCCTGACCACTTGTGTCTCCAGACCCTTTGGTACAACATATGTCTGTGTTTAAACAATAGATTCCAAATAAACAATGATAGCACAGCGATTATGAAGCTGAAGAACCCAGAACTTGAGTTGCTTCAATTCTCTCATTTCATGCAACCACTTAAACCTTTTGCACTGAAAATTTAATACAATAAAACATCCCCTAATCAGTTTGGCTGTGGACTGAAGGGTTCCAGGTTTGATTCTGGTCAAAGGCACATGCCCAGATTGTAGGCCCAATGCCCAGTAGGGGCCATATATAATAGAAGGCAGCTGATAAGTGATTCTCATCATTGATGTTTCCATCTCTTTCTCTCTCTCTTAAATGTAGATTAATTTTAGCACTATAATAATGAGTGTGAAAGGAAATACCAGAATATTGCATAGAGCATGATACTTTGATAAAGCTAGAAAATATGTAAGAAAAACATTTTAAAAAGTAAGAAGAGAAAGGAGACCGCATAGAGAGTGGTCAAGACAGGCCTCTCTGGACAGTCCTATTTAAACGGAGGCTACAATGAGATGGTCCAGCCATGTGGGGAGAGGAGTGAAAAATTGTCTGGGCAGAGGAGACAGTGTGTATTATACAAAGACCATACAGTGGGCCCAAACCTTCTGTCTTTGAGGAACATCCAGAAGGCCAGTAAGCTTATAAATAATAATAATAATAATAATAATAATAATAATAATAGCAGCTACAGGACCAGAGTAAGGCATTTCAGAAGCCCTGAGCATTTAAAAGATAGCTGTATCCATCATGTCATTTAAAAATAAAATTAATATTAAATGGGAAAAGTGTTAGAAAAAAATGTAAAGCTTTTATTTTCCCCATGACCACTCTTTGATACTTTTATTCCGGGTCAGGCAGGGATGTGCTTGTATTTACATCCATTATCCCACTTCATTTGTAAAACAACCTTAGGAGAGAAACTGCTTTCCTCCCATTTTCCAAGATATGAATACAGTAATTCTGACTCCATCGAGTACTGAACCGGCCGGGCTGCCGTTGTGAATGTTCAAACTCGGGAATAGCATGACTTCATCGTCCTCCAGTAAGTCTGCGGAGGAAGCATTTGGTAGCGAGCAAGCCCTTCTCCTTTGGAGTGACCTGTGCCTTTAAGAGTCACCCCTCCCGCGCGGGATGCTCTAATTTCCCTCCAGGGCACCCAGAGCATCATCCGGCCCTCTCCTTTCCCCCAGCTTCCGCACTGCAACCCCTCCTCCACGCCCCACACCCTCCGGCTGGGCTCCCAGCCCCAATCCCCGAGTGGAGGGTGAGGTCTATTGCTGGAGACAAGTTCCCTCCGCCCGGACGGTGCCCACCCACTCCGCCCCAGCAGTATGCCATGTTGGAGCCCCTAATGCCCACCCCTTCCAGCAACGGATCCCGAGGGGCTGGGCCTCAACGCCTTGTCTCCTCGCCCAGGTGCGGGGCGCCATGAAGGTGACCTCCCCCGGGGTTCGTACACACCCCGCAATGCCCGCGCGGGCGCACACGTGGGGAGCGGGGAGCGCGCAGCCCCTCCCGCCACGCGCCCGGAGCGTGCGTCCCCGCCCCGCCCCGCGGCCCGGCCCCGCCCCTGTGCACGCGCTCCAGGCCCGACCGCCGAGGTGCGGCGCGCCCTCATCCCCGCAGCAGGAGGGCTGCGATGGGTGCTGCGACCTGGGGATGGGGCACCCACACACACCTCGAACCCCAGCCGAGGACGGTGAAAAGCGGGAAGCCCGCCCGCTCAGGATCGGGCTGGTGGGCGAGGTGCCCCGGGCCCTTGTGAAGACCGCGCGCCTAGGTTTCCAGCCCCGGTGCACACATCCTCAGTGTCCGTACATCGAGTGAGCGTAATATTCCCTTCTTTCTCCGGATATACTGGCGCCTCGAACAAGATAAGAAATAGGGAAGGATTCATTGGGTCCAGAAGCCCCTGAGTGGCTGGACCGTGTCTGTGCTTAGCAGGGACTCCATCTATGGCGCGATGAGTCTGCTCCGTGCAGGAGCTTTTCTAAGCCAGGCTCCCCAACATTCGGTTCTGGGACGGTCCAAAAAGACGCCCCTAAAGAGGAGAGGGCGGAGGTCCTACCTGGCAGCAGGTGTCCTCGAATAAGCTAACATTTCAAAGGCATGGCGGGGCGGGTGTGGGGGGGGAGGGAACAAGCTTTCGGAGCCACGATCGGCGCGCCCCCTCCCCCCCAGCCCCCAATCTAAGAAAAGAAACCGATCTCATCCGACACCCCCAATCCTAGCCGCGAGACCGCCCAGTCCCGCCCTGCACTGGCAGCCAGCGATTGGGAGATGCAAATGCCGGGTTCTCTGCCCAGCAACGGGTGACGCGCCGCCCGAGCGCGGGGCGTGGCCCGGCCGCAGCCCAGGCGGGCACCTCGGTGTTTACACGGGGCGGCCCCGCGCGCGCCGCAGCGGCCCGCAGACGGCGAGGGGGAGGGGAGGGCGGTGCGCGCGCCGGCGGGGCCGCGCGGGGAGAAAGACACTGGCAGGCGGCGGGGCGGGGAGCGGCGCGCGCGGGCCGCGGCGGAGCGGGAGGCTGCCAGGAGAGCCTGCGGGGGCCCGGGGGGTGCCATTCCTCCGCCCCCGCAAAACAATGTGCGGCGTGCAGCCGGGCGCCACTTGCGGGGGGCGGCGGGGGCGCGCCGAGCCCGCCTGAGACCGAGCCGCTGACCTCCCCCCCACCCCCCGCCGTCCGTTGGGCCCGAGCGCTCAGCTCCTCGCTCCTCAGCTCGCGGGGGCCGGGCCGAGTGGTGGGGCGGGGCCGCCCCTCCGCCGCTCGCTGCTGCCTCCTCCCCCACCTCCGCCGCGGAGGATGCGGACGGCCCCCGGCGGCGGCGTCTAGCGGCCCCGGGCCCAGGCGCGATGGTGCAGCAGCGGGGCGCGCGGGCCAAGCGGGACGGCGGGCCGCCGCCCCCGGGGCCCGGGCCGGCCGAAGAGGGGGCGCGCGAGCCCGGCTGGTGCAAGACCCCGAGCGGGCACATCAAGAGGCCGATGAACGCGTTCATGGTGTGGTCGCAGCACGAGCGGCGGAAGATCATGCACCAGTGGCCCGACATGCACAACGCCGAGATCTCCAAGCGCCTGGGCCGCCGCTGGCAGCTGCTGCAGGACTCGGAGAAGATCCCGTTCGTGCGGGAGGCGGAGCGGCTGCGCCTCAAGCACATGGCGGACTACCCGGACTACAAGTACCGGCCGCGCAAAAAGAGCAAGGGGGCGCCCGCCAAGGCGCGGCCCCGCCCCCCCGGCGGCGGCGGCGGCGGCAGCCGGCTCAAGCCCGGGCCGCAGCTGCCGGGCCGCGGGAGCCGCCGCGCGGCGGGCGGGCCCCTGGGGGGCGGCGCGGCGGCGGCCGACGAGGACGACGAGGACGACGACGAGGAGCTGCTGGAGGTGCGCCTGGTGGAGACCCCCGGGCGGGAGCTGTGGAGGATGGTCCCGGCGGGGCGGGCCGCCCGGGGGCCGGCCGAGCGCGCCCAGGGCCCGTCGGGCGAGGGGGCGGCTGTCACCACCGCCTCCCCGAACCCGTCGGAGGACGAGGAGCCCGAGGAGGAGGAGGAGGAGGCCGCGGCGGCGGCGGCGGCGGCGGCGGAGGACGGCGAGGAGGAGACGGTGGCCACGGCGGGGGAGGAGACGCTGGGCTTTCTGTCCAAACTGCCCCCGTGCCCCGCCGGCCTGGACTGCAGCGCCCTGGACCGCGACCCGGACCTTCAGCCCCCCTCGGGCACGTCGCACTTCGAGTTCCCGGACTACTGCACCCCCGAGGTGACCGAGATGATCGCGGGGGACTGGCGCCCGTCTAGCATCGCCGACCTGGTTTTCACCTACTGAGCCCACCGTCAGCGGGGCGCGCAAGCCCCCCAAACCAGCTGTTTACATACAGGAATCAGGTATTGGGGTCCCCTCGGAGGCCGAGGCTGGCACCCCAACTCTCACGCAGCCTCCCCCACCCCCTCCTAGACGTGCCCATCCCCCCTCGAATCCAGACATGCCCCTCCCCCCCGCAGACACACCCCAAGAGAGCCCAGCCCCCAGCCACCCTTCCCCCCGACACTCAAGCCCCGCCCTCCCCGTCCGGCCCCCTCCTGCACAGCCACCAGCAGCCAGCCCCCCTCCGACACACCCCCGTCCTTCCCGACGAACCTGCGCCCCTCCCCCACTATGCACTTGCCCTTCCTCGCGGCCGGAGGACACGCCCCCGCCCTCGCTCTGGGATCCCTCCGCCTCCTCCCGGCCCGGCCCGCCCCCTCTCCCGGTGGAGGGGGCGCCGGCGGCCCCGCGCCTCCTCCGGCCCCTCCCTCCCCCTCCCCTCCTCTCCCCTCCCTTCCCCTGCGGGGGGAGGGCGCTCCCCGCTCCCCGGAGCGCGGGGCCCGCCCCCTGCCCGCGCATGCCTAGTGCTTCCTTGGGAGGAGGGGGCTGGTCCCTCTGCCCTGCGCCCGGGAGCGGCGGGGCGGGCGCGGAGCTCTCTCCTGGGAGATACTTTGGTTCGGGAGCTGCCTGCGGCTTCCTTTCAACCCGACGGGGCGCCGCTGCCTTAATGGGAGGAGCACCCAGAAGGGGGAGAAAGGGACCCGCCGGTCCCCAAGTGTTGGTTTGGGAACTTGGAACTGCCCCGAGTGGCATAGCCCATCCCCCTTTCGCTTACGGGGTCGCCCAGACCCACATGCAACCTCCCCCCTACCCCTTACCCCCCACCCCTTCCATACACACACACACACACACACACACACACACATATACCGACCGCTTGAATGCCTCTACAGCCTATTTTGGTTTCCAGAAACCTCTCTTAAAATCCTCCTACCTGGGGATTGGGGGTAGGGTCTCTTTCTGGAAACTCACCAGGAGACAAAAGGGGCTGCCTACCTACCAAGGAAACTCAGAACCAGGACACATACCGAGCTGTTTGGGGGCAGGGTCCCCTCCTGCTCCCCTCCTCCCCCCGGCAGTGCCCTGTCACCCCAGGGCGCACCCCCAACCTGGGCTCCTCCTCAAGCCCACAGCCCCATCCTGTCACCCAAGCACCTCTGTGCCCACAGCGATCGCATTTGGTGGGAGAAACGGAGGCACGAAGCTGCTAGGGGCTAGACTGAGGCATGATAGCGGATGGAGTGGCAAGAAGAGCCTCGCCTGTAAGCAGCGGACTTGAGAGAGAATATGGACTGGACCAGTGAGACTGAAGGGCGCTCAGAGCAGTGGAGGTGTGCCCTGGGCGCCCCCGTCTTTCCGTGAAAAAAATAGGGATAGAGCTGCTGTAGGAGGAAGTTGTGTCCAGTTTCTCGGGTGCCTTCGGGACCCTGCCCCTCATGTGACCCCTGTGACTCCCATTCTTGGCTCAAGCCCCGCCCCTCCGGCCTCCCCCGACCCCCTTTGCCCTCACTACCTGTATCTCACCGGCGTGTGTCCACCCCCCCAGGTGTGCACACACTCTCATTCACACACACAAATCTCAGGAACAAACGGTCCCAGAGTCCTCCGGGACCCCTGCCCAGGGTCTCTGCTGGTCTCTGCCCCACGCGTTCCCGTCGCTGACAAAGCCACCAGCTGCCTCCTTTACGCTTGGTGCTCCGGCTCTGGGCCTTTTCTCGCGCTCTCTCTCTCTCTTTCTCTTTCTTTTTTTTTTTAAGTAAAACAACAACAAAAAGACAATGAAAAACCCCAGAAAACGTCATGTGAGTGAAGAATGTCATTGTCTGTGGTCTTGGAGAACTAGTCTAGTAGCTGAGGGGAGGGATCCCTCCCATCTGGGGCACTGGCACCCGCAGCAGGACTTGATGCCAGTCTGATGCCAGGACTGAATAAAGTGTATTTGCCCCTACCTCGCCCTGTGGTTCTGCATGTCTGTGCCTTTCCTCAACCCTTCCCAAACAGTTTGCCAGATTGAAGTCTTTTGATTTGGCACCATCCAGGAAGAGCTAGGCAGGGGGTGGGGGGTTCAGGGCAAGGCACCGGCCCCTCCAGCCTCTGTCTCCCTCTATCTCAGGACGCCCCGGTCTTCATGAAGGATGGCGAGCTCATCCCTGCAGGGGTCGGGCCGGTAACAAACGGAACAAGAGTCTGGGTGGGCGTGGGCTTTGTGACCCACTGCGGGGAGAGGAGGGTGCTCAGCTCCTGTCAGGGGACCCTGTACAGGGATTGCAGCCCACGGTGGCCAGAGGGCTAGATTTTTCAAGACAAAGTGGAAAGTGGCTGTTTCTACAATCATCTCCATTTCAAAATGAAAGCTGACTCATATTTTCAAATCCTTGTGGAGCAAATGAAATGTGTGAGACACACCTGGTCCAGGGGGGCCCATTTGATCCTGATCTTAATGAGGATTGAGGAGCAGCGTTGGGCTCAGCACTTAGCTCCACTCCCTGTGTGACCTTGAGCAAGTTCACTGGATCCTGACTCTTCTTCCCACGTGTGTAACATGGGGGTGATGGCAGTACCTGCTTCCGAGGGTGAAATGGGCCAGAGTGGTGAGGAGCAACCAAGATCAGAGCCAGGGCTCCAAACCTTGGGTGGGTCTCTGTATTACCTCAGGGTGCTGCCTCTTCCTGTTTGAAACTGCCCAGGGCTCAGAGCCTCAGGTGGTGGTGCTGATCCCAGGGCCTGGCACATAATTGCCCAATGCATAAATTTATCAAATGAGTAAAGAAAAGCAGCAAGCAAGATGATTCCTGCCCTTGAGCGTCGTCTCACCGTGTGTTTTGGAAACAGACCAAGGCTTTCAAAATTCTTTTGTCCCTCGGACACCCCTGCACCTTAATTTATTCCCCTCCCAGATCCTGTGAATTCCTAAGGTTGGACAAAGCCTGTTTCCCCAGGAAGGACCAAGGCCGAGTGAGCAGACCTTATTTAGAGGGTATTTGGGGACTGGAGTACCCATAGGTGATACAAAGGGGGCCTAGAGCACAGTTTGGGAGGGCTGGGTGTGTACAGAAAGGTGGTCTGGGGCCGTGCAGAAATTACAGGGACAGTTTCTCAGCTTCTCTGATTGGAAACAAGATACCCCACCCCCCAGGTCCTATAAGAAAGAGCTAAGGAACTGTGGGAGACAGACAGGTGTCCCCCATAACCTTTTCCAGGAAGGACTTCCCCAGCTGTGGGAAGTCTGGTCAGCTCTTTGAGGGTCCGCTCCGGTTGCAGAGTGCCATTCACTCAGGGCTGCCTGTGTCTGGCGTCTGAGTGAGATCAGCCATGACTGCTGGCCCTCTGGGTTCAGGGTGGGACAGACGCTGGCAGACAGTACTTGTGCTGCCCCTCCCCCACACTCCCCCAAGGCCCCTCCCGGGTGGGGGAGGCTTTGCTAGGCCTGTAGTGCCATTTGATTTCCTATACCCAATCCTGCCCCCCCCCCCCTTTTTCTTTTCACAGGTGCTTATCCCTAATAAATATTTTGCACCCCAAATCCAGTCTCCGTGTCTGTTTCTGGAGAACCCAGTCTGCCATGGAGGATGCGAGGGGCTGGACAAAGGGCATCCAGTAGCTGGCTCAGCATCCCTGGCCTGGCACCTCGGATCCCGCCAACCCTCTGGGAGTTGGTGTCAGGAGGAGTCTATTCACCTCACCACCAACACGGCCCCAACCTTGGGGTTGTACCCTTTCCAGGAGGCATCCCATAGACCTTCCGGCCTCAGCCCACAAAGCACTCGCTCCAGAGCCCTCTGCTGATGTCATGCTCATGTGAACCGCCTCTCCTGGTCAGAGCTGAGAAGGGGCGGTCATCAGTCTCTTTGCCCTACAGAATCCTCACGGAGGAGGGGGGCGGGGAGGGTAAAATGCTTGGCTGTTTGCAGTGCGTCAACCTTGGGCCAGGCTCTTTCCCTTGGCAGGCCTTAGTTTCCTCATACGTAAAGCGGAAGAGATGGGATAGGAATAGATGCGAGACCATGTATTATTTGGTTCCTTCCATTTGAGAAGGAAATGGATTCTGACCTGGGAAAGGTGGGGAGGTCTGCTTGTGTGGGCTCTGGGGACACCTAGTGGCTGGAAGGAGTAGGAAGCAGTTGGGGGTGTGTCCGACTCCACGCTCACTGCGTTCATGCAGTCACTGACTCAGGCCCCTTGCCCAGGTTCTTTGAGCCATCTTGGTCCCAAGGTTTAAAGACCCTGAACGCCGATTTGTGGGTTATCTATTGCTACAGAGCAAACTGCCGAAATGGAGCAGCTAAAACAACGTGCTTGTTTCCCAGGAGGCCAGCTATGCCGTAGCTCGGTTCTCTGCTCAGGACCTCCCGAGGCTGCAGGGAAGGTGTTGGCTGGGCTGCGTTCCTTTCCGGAGCTCAGCTTCTCTTCCCAACTCACGTGCTGGTGGGCAGAATTCCAGAATTCATTCCTTGTGTTTAAGAATGGGGTCCCTGTCTTCCTGGCTCGCACCTGGTTCCTAAGAGCCGGTGCTCACAGTTTCTTCCTCCACAGGCCTTCTCTGCATGGCAGCTTCTTTGGTCAAGGTCAGCAGGAGAGCGTTTCTCAGTGCCCAGTCACTTGACTCCAGGAAGGCTCTCTTTTAAAGGACCTGCTTTATTCAATCACGCCACCGAGAAAAATAGCCCTTTTGATGAATTAGAAATCAACTAATTTGGGACCTGAGCTACATCTGCAGAATCCCTTCACCTTTGCTGTTTTAACCCGATCACCAGGCTGACGGTTATGGTGTGCTCTGGTCTCGCCCACTCTGGGGACGGAGAGCTTGTGTCCGGCATGCACAGCAGCGGGTGGGGATCTTGGGGGCCATCTGAGAATTCTGCTTATCTCAACTGTGGGTTCTCAGGTTTGTATCGCCATCCCATTATTTCCAGACTTGTCTGTCTGGCTGCCTTCTTGTTCTCTCCACTGGGGTATCTACTTGGTCCCCCAAACTTGGCATGTCTGAAAGTAAGGTTTTGTTTCCACAAGCTCCCAAGCCTGCTCCCTCATCCCACCCACATCTTCAAACATCACGTAAAGGCCCAAAGCCTCTCCGTCCCTTGGCTCCTCTTTTTCTCACTGTGTCAGATCCCTTCCCTTCCTTCAGAACGTGTCCCGTGTGCTAGCACTTCTCCCCTTTCATGGCCACCTCCTGCTCCCGGCTCCCATCTTCTCTGGATCCTGTGCTGACCTCCTCACTGGACTCTGCCTTCTCCTCTGCCCTGTCCACGCATCAGCGAAAGGGATCTGGTGAAACTATGAATCAGACCATGTCCTCCCTCTGCTCAGCACTCTGTAAGGGTCTCCTCATTCAGGCTCAAAGCCAAAGTCCTCAGCATGTCCCCTAAAGCCCTATGGGATCTGGCTGTGGCTCACTCTGGTACTTATTTCCAGCTGCCTTTTCCTTTTCTCACCATGCCCCAGCCATACTGACTTCCTTGCTGTTCCTCAAAACTGCCAAGCACACACCCACTCGCCTCAGGCCCTTTGTCCATGCTGTTCACTCGCTGGAAATGCTCTTCTCCAAAATACTTACATGACACACTCCCTCACTTCCTTCATGTCTCAGCTCCAGTGTCATTACCTCAAAAAGATCTTCCCCAACCATTTATTTTATTTTATTTTTAAAAATATATTTTATTGACTTTTGTACAGAGAGGAAGGGAGAGAGAGAGAGAGTTAGAAACATCAATGAGAGAGAGTCATCGATCAGCTACCTCTTGCACACCCCCTACTGAGGATGTGCCCACAACCTGACCGGAATCGAACCCGGGGCCCTTCAGTCCCCAAGCCGTCGCTCTATCCATTGAGCCAAACTGGTCCCGGCAGGTCTTCCCCAACCATTTATACAAGGTATCACCAGCACCCCTTATGATATCTCCTTTGCTTTGTTTTTCTTAATAGCATTTATCACATATAGTTTTTATTTTGTACCTTTCCAATTGTTTTTTAGATTAAATTTATTGGGGTGACATTGGTCAACATGAACATACAGGTTTTGGGTGTCTGTCTTTCCAATTAATATGTAAATTTCATGAGGGAGGAATGACGTCTGCGTTGGACTCTGTGCCGTGGGCCATTCAACCTCTCGTTCACTCACCCATCCAGAGGACATTTGTTAAGGGGTTACTTATGCCAGACTCTGGACACACAAAGATGAGAAAGACAGATCTGAGGAGGAGGAGGAAGATACATAATAAACAGGGATAGGAATGCACTGGTGAAGATGGACAGCCGGGCTGGGGGAACGCAGAAGAGGCACTTAGTCCAGACATGGGACAGAGTATGGTTAGGTCACCTTCTCCGGGATATATTTTTTTTAATTTTTTAAAAAAAATAGATATTGCCCTAATTGGTTTGGCTCAGTGGATAGAGTGTTGGCCTGTGGACTCAAGGGTCCCAGGTTCGATTCCAGTCAGGGGCATGTGCCTTGGTTGCGGGCACACCCCCAGTGGGGAGGGTGCAGGAGGCAGCTGATTGATGTTTCTCTCTCATCTATGTTTCTAATTCTCTATTCCTTTCCCTTCCTCTCTGTAAAAAAAAATAAAAATAAAAAAATATTTTAAAAATACATATTTTTTCCCCTCCAGGATGTTGAACCTGTGAGACCTCAGTAGGCTGTGGTTTTAGAATATGGCTACATGTTCACTGACATTCCTTCCCTGAATGTCCTTCCCCTTGAATCTTGGCTGGCCTTTGTGAGCCACTGGTACCCAATAGGACACAGTGGACGATGCTGTACGTTTCCAAAGTTCGGTCAAACCTGACTCCCATGTGAGAAGCCAGTGACCCTAAGAGC